GAAAATTTGAGTATTGATTTGACAATCAAGTTAGCTCCAAATTCTCTATGTGCGAGGTTGTTGATTTAGAATCTATAATAATTTCCCAGTGCAACAAATTTTCAAGTTTATAGAATACAACAAATTGAGGAATTTATGAGTTCGTTGTCAACAATGAATTGTTATTTGTGAATCACAAAATTTGTCGGTCATAGTGAATTGATAATTGTTTGTATATTGCAAATTGAAAAGTTCTTTAAGCTTGTTGAATTGACAAATAAAAATCCCTGATTTTGATTAAATAAATTTGGTTGCTTAAGTTTTTCTATATTTTGAATTTATGCAATTAAAAAACTTTCTGATTTGAAGAAATGAAGAAATAAGAAGATTTGAAAGTTTATTTCATTACAACTTGGCAGCTTTACATGCTAGAAAGTTTTGAGATGGCATTAGTTGATTGGTGCTAATATTAGAGTTTTTGTGTTCACGTAAGAATCATATACTAGAAGTAGGTGTTAATTTTAAAGGTTCTAAATTCATTGAATTAGTTAAACCAATGAACACTCTATATAATCAATATGTTGCCAATTTGATAATTTTCCATTAACACTGTGTTGAAGATGGTGTCATTTTAAATATTAATAATCTATAAAATATTGCAGTATGAACATGAATTAGAGATGATATGTATCTCTCCCAATTAAAGTTTCTTTATAGCTATCATAATGATTATCCTTGTTATATGGATGGCATTTGTTAAGACATAATAATCATTATTATTTTTATTTGGTGTTTTATCACCTTCTTATTTTTAATTGGTGCAACACTTTGATTGTTTCACAGGCATGCAATATTGGGCACATTGACAATAGTTGATGAGAATTACAATTTTACTTGGAAGCATCCATTATACTGCTTGGAACATTTAGAGTAGATTTTATAATGGCTTGCTTGAAGACTATAACTTCCTTCCGTTTTTGAGGTTCATAGGTGTGAATCAGCTTCTTTTGCATTGAATAGAGCAAAAATCTTATACGTTATTTATGTTAATGATAGTAATGGTTCAGTTTGACTAACTTTTTTTGGTTGCGACTTACTTCGGTGATTACATGAGTGTCATACTGAATCCTTGTTGTATGATTGTAAAATTTTAAATGCAATTTTTGACATTTTTGTATAATTTCTTAGATTTCTTCAATTGATAAAAAAAACATGTGACAGATGTCCCAATTCTAAAAGCTTAAATTTTATTCTAGAAGTTGAAATTTTTTATATATAGATTTTATGAGACCTTTTATATACCTTATTACATGTAAAATATTACAATCTGAACTTTATTACACTATTATATAAAAACTGTTGTATGCATCAATTGAAGAAACCTAAAAAATTGTACAAAAATCTCAAAAAACAACATTAAAAATTTTACAATCTGGACTTTGTTGGTCTACACTATTATAAAAAAAACATGTGATGGATGTCAAAAAATGACTTAAATTTTACTATAAAAGTTGAAATTTTTTATGTTTGGGGTTTAGATTTTATGGGATCTTTATATGACCTGTGGATTATGTTTTTAAATGGATGGATTGAAACGATTGTTTACCTTGTTGTGATGCTAAAAATGTTGCAAAATTTTTAAAGAAAAATATTTTTACTAGATTTGGAATATCGAGGGTTATCATTACAGATGAAGAAAGTTGATCGATATTTGTAGTTGTTGTATAATAAAATTGTAACAAAAGTTTCTTTTTTCAAATGCATTGAGTTTTTTTTTTTTTGGGATATGCATGAACAATCATCATATATAACAAAACATTTGAGTTTTAATTGCTTTTAATTGCTTGGAGAACTCATCATATAACAAAGCATTTGTGGGCTATTATTATTAACTTTTGATTTGATAGAGTGTGATGATAGAATGAGAATCGAGATAATGAATTGTGCAGTAGAATCAATATTGTTCAAGTAGTAAAAGGAACATGCTTTAAAAAGTTTGTTAAGTTGATATAGAAGTGAAAATGAGTTAAGAATAATGATTAGAAGATTACCATCCTTAAAAATAAATATTGTGCAGCAACTGAAGTTTAAATCCCTTGATGGAGTTCAATTTTTTCCTTACTAAGAACATAAAATTGATTTATTCTCCTAGAGATGTGAGATAAATTTTTAAAAAGTTCTTATTACCTTAATATTCTCCAGCTTTTTAAAACAAGACAATAATCATTAATTTATTAGCAAGAATGATAGAGCTACGTGAAAAAGAGCTCTTACATCTGGTTGAAGGCCCGTAAAAATATGCCCTCAAGAACAAAAGAAGAAAAAGCAACCGACAGTTCTTACAAACAAAAATCTCACAAATAATGATTTATTAATCCATACTAAATGAATAGCAAACACCACATCAAGAAATCATACCATCACTCAAAGAATATCTCATCTCCATCAACACTCAAAATACCCAAAACAACTATATGAATTCCCCCCTCTCTGTACCTTCAACACATAACACAGCAATAAAAAGCATAAATAATAGCCTAAACAACTCCACAAATCCCAAACTCAAACTGGACAAATCCAGATCCTCACTGAGACGAAATCAGGCCAAAGAAGGAGACAATCGAGCTCAGCAGCAACGTGCACAGAACCGGCACCAAACCAAACGCTCCATTCTCCAACCCCGCCGGCGACGGAGCAATCGCCTCATCCTGTGCTCCGGCAACCGCCAAGAAGGCTGCAAGCAGGAGAAGCAGAGGAACCTTCATGGAAAGCTTAAGCATGGCGGCTTCCATCTCAGCAGTGAAACGAGTTGGTTTCTTGATCTGAAACAAGGGAGCAGAATGGAAATTGTGGAAGAAGAAGAAGAAGCTGTGTTTGATTGATTCTGTGAAGGAAATGGGTGTTGGGATATTTATAGATGGGAGAGGCGAAATGTAAGAAGAAAGGGGGAGACAGATGTAGCCGTTGGAAGGAAACTCTGAAAGTTGAAACGGCAGATCAGCGTGAAGTGACCGTTACTTCGGACGCGTGGCGAAAGAAGAGTGGCCGGACGTTTGAAATTTGTCGGGAATCGGCCATCTAACCGTTGAATGGGATGGGATCGGTTCAGGGTTACTTTACAGCCACGGAAAGGAAACTAGTAGCGCGTGGCTTGAAGAAAAGAGCAAGTGAAAAACGTGCAGTCATTTGGGCTCAACTGAGTCATTTGGGCTCCACTGCTTGTTTAAAAGACACGGGAAAATTTGTTGGGCCTCTCTGTTGGCCCTCTCCGTCTTCAGGAATGGGGAAGGCCTGGTTTCAATTAGGAGAAAATATCATGCATCTGGACTTTCAATTACTCGTCACATCACTATGAATCTTTTGATTATCCGAACGTGTGGATATGGACATTATATTTTTTTCTAAGATGAGCATCCTCTTGAGCTTGATTAAATTATTAAATTTACGCTTAAGTTTGAGCTTAAGTTTACTAGTTCGAGTCCAATCATGAGCCGCTTTGTTTATTATAAAAAAAAGGAAATGATATTTATCTAAGCAATAGCTATAATAAAACGATAAATAAAATAAGAAATTAGGAGATAAATAATAAAAATTTACTTCATATAAATTATAAAATATTACTTCTTAAAAATCCTTTAATTTAGTATTTTTTGAGGTTGAGTTGAGGATGGCTTAAGCTTGGCTGATTAGCTCATAGAGCGCAGCTCACGAGCCATTTATCTAGCCAAGATTGAGCGGGCTCAGAAGTTGGCTTGACTCACTTATCCTCAACCGATAACATGAGAAAGTAAGCCAGATCAGTGAATTATTCCAAAGAATTGGTGCCACCAATCTAACAAGTGATACATGTATGATGACCTTATAAATTTATTCTAAAAACTTTAAATATTAATGATATTCTGATTACATATTTAATTGTTACAAATACTAAATATTTAAAAATAATTTATTCATAATTATATGGTTAAGCATTATACATTAAAAGTATTATTTTTGTTCTATTGTAAAGAGTTCTGGAGAAAGCAATATAGAAATAAATACATATTTTTTCTAAAAAAATTAGATAATGGTTTTCTTGCAATTACAGTATTTTAATGTCATATTGAAAAAAAAATTATTTTCGTTATAAAAATTTCTATAAAGTATTTAAGTCGTTCAGAACTGTGATGACAATCTGAATGCAAAACAGACCTTGATCATATGTCAATGGTGATAGCGATTAAGATTATTATCTGCGACAAGAAAATAATTACGTTTTTTAGGAAAATATTTTTGTTTTTATTAAACATAATATTTACTTTATTTCTTTTTTAAACTTTAGGAAGTCCAAAAAATGTTATTGATCTTCAATAATAATTTCAATCATCTCAACCAAATGTTTCTAAAATTATAAAATCATTAACAATTAATTATAATTGTAATTTTTTTTATCATTCTCTAATAACAACACAGCCAAGTATCACATGTCAATCAAATACAAGCAATTCTCTTGCTTGTATAACTCCATCAAGATGCAAGGTTTCTTCTTCTTAGACATTTTCCTTTGTAGCAGTGTCGTCTAGTCACTAAGAATTGTGCATCCTCATCTTCACCTCCAAAATTCTCCGGTCTCATTAACCTTAATTAACTCATCAGAAGTCCTGACCACTTTAGCAATGGAGCATTTCTTGATTCTCTCTTTTTTCCTTCATCAGCGTAAAAGCATTGTAGTTCTAATACAAGGATAATATGTTTGAAATTTTACCTCACACTTATTATAGGGAATGAAAGCATCATGACACAATTCTTATGTATATGCATATCTAGCTCTTCATATTTAACCACACACATAACATTTTAGTACTTTAAATTTATGTATAAAAATGTGTGATTTGAATGATTTAAATGTTATAATTAAAGTTTTGGATGGTTAAAATGTAATATTTAGAATCTATTAAATACTTTGCTATATAAAAATCTAAAAATTTAAAGGCATTTACACACATACCCCACAATTCCTATGTATTTATATATCTAGAACATATTTTTGTTTACCAGAGCGGTGCTCCAACATAAGCAAAGAAGAAGGCGCGGATCAGCTATGGCTGCGGCGCCGGTCCTTCGCGAACTTCAACGTGATATTGAAACTCAGGCCAATACTTTAAGCAAGATCCAGAAAGGCTAGACTCAAAACCCTATCTCAGTCGCTTCTCATTATGAAACCGTAACCCTAACCTTCCACCTCTAACTCCTGGAGCAGATATTGCGAAGAACCACCAAGTGCGGAAGCAGTACACCATCCAGCTAGGTGAAAATGAGCTAGTTCTCAAGGTGAATTTCGTTCTCTTTCAGTCTCTGCAACTTCTTTTCCAAGTGGGTTCAGTCTATCTTCATTTGACTTGTTTGTAAGGTGCGCAGGAGTTAGACCTTTTAAACGAGGGTTCTAACGTGTACAAGCTAATTGGACCAGTGCTTGTGAAGCAGGATTTGGCTGAGGCTAGGGCCAACGTCCGCAAGCGGATTGAATACATTTCGGCAGAGCTGTACGTGTCTTTTTGGCGCACTCATGGAATTTGTTGTTTCTTTTGTTTCATTGACGCTACCCTGTTTTTGTTGATTAAGCTTGATGATTTTCATCTCGGTGTTGCTGTTGAGTGTGCAGGAAGCGGCTTGATGGGACTCTTAAAGATCTGGAGGGCAAGCAGAGCAGCAAGCAAGAAGCGGTTAGTGATTATAAAATTTATCAGCTATTTCCAGTTGTTTTTTTTTCTTGTTTTTAGAATGATTATAGTAGAACCTGAGAGATTCTGAAGTTTCAATATCTTTGATGGAAAAGAGATATATATTCTAGCTCATTGCTATACGTTTATGCTATGCAACTTTGGGGTGTGATTTTATTCATCTCTTTTTTTAATACATGTATAGAGAATATCATTTTAATATAGAAGCTTATTCTCATCTCATGTTGAACCTATGTTTGATTTTGTTTTACCTTCACTCATTTCGACAATGGAGACCAAGTGATGTAGGATGCTTTAAGTTCTAGGTTTATTAATGCAAATCTATTATATGATGAAGAAAAAACAATAAAAAACAAATTCATAGTTAAAAAAAACTCTAATTTTCTTAAACAATTATTCACTATTTTGGATGGATATTATAAATACGAATAAATCAGTTAAGATGATAATCCAAGTGCCTTCTGTTAGAAAAAAAATGAATAAATTTAGAATAAAATGTCTCACACTATGAGTTTCAATCCATGTTTTATTGAATAAAAGTAAAATCAATCACACGATCAATCAAATAACAAAATCTTAAATCATTAAAAAAGGGACTTGTGACTTAATTGGACTGTACTAATCACATTAACCAAACCTCCAACTCAAATCTGTTTGTAGTGGACTCGACATGATTTTTTGAAATTGCTTTATTTTCAAAATGGACCCTACTAATTCTATCTAGCTAGATGCTTAATGCCGACATCCTGTTTAGGAGGGGAATTTGCATCATTTTTCTTACAGCTATTGTCATTAAATTAGAATGTATATTAGGAAAGGCTTACTCAGAAACTATTTTGTAATTATTCTTTCTGTATTGTGCATATTTTTTATCTAAGTGTATGTGTTGTATGCAATTGAACATATGAAATATAGAGCTGTTGCTTCTACTATCTAATGTTTTTACATTTCATAAAGAAAATTTACAAGCACTCCAGGTTGTTATCTTAGCCGCACCTTTCAGCATAGCTGGTACCTCCAAAGTGTCCTCCCAAATTACTCACAAAAATCACTCACACAGCACAAATGTTGGAACACGTTGTGGACTTGGAGAACAAAAAGGGCAACTTTCTCATTCATCCAGTGCAATTTAGGAACTTATATATATATATATATATATATTGTCCGTTGAGTTAATTTCTCATATTTTCCTTGCCTTGCTGTTCTACTCTAGGGTTGTAAGTGAATTAGTACACTTGATAAATGGCTCAATACTTGTTTATATATATGGTTCAGTTTGGTTTGTTTATTTGTTAGTCGAACAAGCTCCAAGACAATCTTGAAGGATTCACCTATGAATGAAGTAATCGAGAAGCTTGAGTATTGACATATTTATTGATTTATTTCTGCGAACAAGATCATGCACTGTTAAACTACTAGCCTATTAAAAGTTTAGTAAAATGTTAATTTTTATTATTTGTTATTTTATTTCATATTTTTATATCATTTTTTTTATATTTATGCCTTTCAGAATTATTATATCAACAAAATCTTAAGTATGATGAAAAACGAGTAAGTACGTGGATCGATATATTAAAAATTTAATTTAATTTTTAATCAACATTTGATAGAAATATTGAATAAAGACTAGATAAATAGATGAAAATTTAATTTATTTTTAAATTAAAATTATATAATAAAAATTTTAAGTAAATACCAAGATGGATGGATTAAAAATGTATTCTGTTATCCATAAAATAGTACAAATAATGGTGAGTTCATTTCATATTGTTAATCTTGATACAAGACTATGAAAGTATTTATCACTAGTAATAAATTGCTTGTCTAGATTATTAACATTTCATTTATAGTTAGGCTCAACTAAAGTTTGATTATGGCTTGAATTCGGTAAGAGAAATAATAAATAGGCTGTATCAAAATTTTAAAACGTACGTCACGCTCAATTTTGCTCAAGTTTTATAGGCAAAGAAATTGACAAGCTTGAACAATACAATCATAATTTACTCTCTTGGTGATAGTTGGTTAATATGCTTACTTTTCATTACTAGTTTCACTTCATATTTGCTTATTGTATGCTACGGGATTTACTTCTTTTGCAGGGTTAAATGTAATCGTAGCATTAATTGTTTACCAAAATTTCCTTCTTTTGTTTGATATTTACTTTATTTCAGAGATCTTTGCCTACCAGTTGTTTCTTACTTTTTTAATTATTAAATGTAATCACACAAGTGGGTCTTCAAGTTTCTTAACACTTGTCCAACACTCATTAATCAGGCTTACTTGAGAAGCACTCTATTCTTGTCTTCTTTTATCTTCTTGCACCTTTTTTTTTAAGATTTAGTCATGTGCTTTAGTAGGTAAGTGTCGTTCTTACATAGCTAGATATTTTGTTGTTTTTTTGAAATTTTGTTCTTGTGTTTTAGTTAATTAATGCTGCTCTTACATGGTAGAGATTAGTTTATGTGGTTGTTTTAACTACTAAGGCTGTGATTTTAATGGAAACTTGACTAGGAAGAATGGACAGTTTGAAATACCATTCATGCCTCTTTTAGACACATGTTGTAGAAGGATAAATCTTTGGTATGCTCTTGTACGTTTTTGTCATACACAAATTTATGCATATTGTTTCAATATAAAATTATGTTTCAACACAGGTCGTACATGGCTTGACACGAAAGACATGTGCATGAGGGATGATCTGCCCGTGAGATATTAATGCACATTCAAAATATGTGGTCACTGACAATAATTAATCAACTGTAATGTTAGAATCTTATTAGCAACCATTAATTGTCACATTTTGTAAAATATTTCTCATTTCATTGATAGTATTTATTTATTTATTTTATTTGTTAAACTACTTTTATGAATTATATATTCATATACTTTATGCGACGCCTTAGCTGAAACTACAATAGATTATATATTTTATTTTAATACTTTATAAAATATAAAATTGTATCAATGACTTATGTGTCTTACATTCATAATATGCTCTCACCTTCAACATATTGAGTCGTGTAATTACTTTGTAAAAACTTGCTGGTTATCTGGAATTATATTGGGCTAATCTTGCCCCAACCAATCATATCTACTTAGGAACTAGTAGTTTATAAATAACATATTAGAGACATTTAATTTATTGTCTTTGATTGAAAACTTATCTTTTAGTTTTAAGTTTTGTGTGTGTGCAAGTCATAAAGTGAGTCATCTACTTGTACCAGTGTGAGGCTGTAATTTTGTCTTGACAAATTCTTTATTTGACCTAATTTCTTTTATATATTATACTAATTTTTTGCTAGTACTTCTAGTCTTATTCAAATTTGTCAAAAATGATTTTATTTGTCATGATTAAATTACAATTGCACGCTAGTTTTGCTTGCTTAGAAAATTCTTGTTGATTTATTCATTTTTTTTGTTAGTATAATATCATTTGACTTATAATTCTTTTAAGTTCGTTTGTTTAAAGATTTTTTTGTGAAATCTAAGTTTTCTTGTGATTTACTTTAATCACATTAAGTTTGATTTGAGAGGGGATATTTTCATTTTGGTTTAAGATAATGATATCGAGAGCGAATTGCCATTTCTTCATATTTTCTTTCTTGCACATATTTCTTGGCCTATTTTAGATTTTGAGAAAATATTAAAATTTTATGTGTTTAAGAGGGTTACAATATTGAAGGAGTGCAAAATTTTGTCAATCTTATCACCTTAAATCTATTTGCATCCGATTTATTGAGTATCATAACATTTCAATTAATATGGGGTCCCTAAAGGAATATTAAATGGACGTTAATTTAAGATTCTTGCCAAGGCAGGCTTTGAGTATCCTCCAATTGGTCATATGGTAACTTGTGTGGCAGTTACATATACATGCGGAGAAAGATAATTAAATCATTGGGTTTGATGATATTCATGAAATTTGTGTTATCATGATATCTTAGTTGATTATTCTTTAAATATTATGCATTGGGGGGGGGGGGGGGTTTTGTAAAAAATAATTTTTT